CCATTCATCTCGAGTAAAACCAAGAATGTCCTGGTGCATCGCTAGATAACTATGCAACCGGCTCATCATTCTGTTATCATTGATTGGCTGCCTGAGATTAGACTGACAAACCTGGAGCGTCTTCATATTGCTCCAAGTGTCGTTTCTGTTTATTAATGTTTATCACCCAATCAAATCGAACGCACGTGTGTTTGCCAGTTTTCCACATACCCCAGAGTTATCTTATTCCGTCCTACTTCATTGGATGTATGGGAATGAAAATTACTTCCACGAACATTTCGTGAACTTTCAAATGGAACATTGGTGTATGAAAAATACAAACCTGAAGCTGGTATAGTGAGATATTCTGCATTATTGCTCGTCTGTAGTGGATCGACGTCGACGGAAACAACCCCTCCCCAATTGATGGCAAAGCAACCAGAAACTATTTGAAACTGTTTACATTTTTTTAACCGAACACTGAAAAGTTATACATTGGAATGAAAAAAAATCTACTACTATCAAACGAATCTAATAACACAGAAGTGAGAGAGTGCAAAGTTAACTCGCTGTCGCTAGAGTTTCATACATTTAAATATTTGACGAAGGGATGAATCGCATATTTCTATTACATACATTATAGATCATAACATCAACTTTCCGCTTCAATAAATAATTTAACTCTTTGCAGGTGATATCTAATTGCACACATAACACAAATATACGTTGATCTGTCTATGTGTAAACGTATATTACAAGTCAACAATGATTTTAATTTAAACCTAAAGTCATCAAGACTGTATAAATCAAGACGTTTTTCAGACTCATCTGTATCGATCATCACCAATCTGGTCGTAATCGTTACATAATGATGTACACCTATTTTACCGTACCAATGAAAATTTGTTTTCACAAATACCCAAACAACGCAGTTGATATTACTACCCATTTTCACACATTTTCGATTCGTTTTCGAGATAAATATATCGCTCCACCAGGAAGCATTTCATCATGAAAAAAACATTCCTTAGTGTGTAAATTAGCACTTTCTAATCCAAATTAAGTTCCGGTGGTTTACATCCATGCGTTAGTTAATGTCACCCGACATGCTTTTCATCCACTTGTATACCACGTCGTCAAAAAAAAAAATACGATAATTACTGGTTTGAAAATTGATGAAAATCGTTCAGACGGTATTAACTGACTTCGTTGATATGACATTGATTGTCGACGTCGGTTTTAACAGCGTTAGACTGCTACATAGTCTGTCGCACAAGCCGGTACAAACCATGTCAAGACATCAAGAATGACGACATGTTACCCGTACCCAAGACAGTAGAAATCGCGTGCACCAAATCGAAATTCCTTCCCACTTTACATCACTGCCAATGGCCGATGCAAGTGAATTAAAATGAACACTGTGTTATTACACCAGTATAAATAACACAATTTCACAAATATGTTAATGTGAGTATTTTTAGTTAATGAATATCCATAATAGCACAACATGTTTGCCCGCACCCTCGGAACAAATATTTTCTTATGACCTCCCACTCATACATTATATCGTGGATTTGCGCAACATAGGAAATTACATAAACATATGTGCTATTTGATAGTCTGTTGATGAAAACGGCGAATAGTGTTAGAATTAAACGCGTTTCAAATATTTACAGCGAAATGCTTGGAAAAATCCGGTTAAATACCCCAATTATAAGTATTTGAAAATGTGTAATGTTAGCAAAATTGGCTGATATATTAGTGCGCATCATATGGTTTATAATAGGTGTCCGATTATCGACGACTTGGTAATTTGACGACGAGCATTTTTTTCACTAATAGAGTTAGAGTTAGCTTATTATTATTATTGTTATTATTATTGTTATTATTATTGTTATTATTATTATTATTATTATTATTATTATTATTATTATTATTATTATTATTATTATTATTATTATTATTATTATTATTATTATTATGTTATTTTATTCTGTCCTTAACCAATCACGCATCACCTACCAAACGCCATCATTATCTGTCACATATGTTATTTATGACTTACTCAGGTTTCTATAGTAATTATTCCGGAGTAAGTGCATTTCACGCATCATCGAGCATCCGATATCACGTGATATGTGTTATATTTGCAATAAACGGTGTGTATAAGACAACACTAAGTGTGATAAGTCATTTGTAGTTATGGGCAATATTTTAGGTTGTAGGGATCCGGTTCTCAAACCTGTGAGGCACGACAGAACATTTATGCATAATTCAATAGACGAATAAGGTTTAAATTTTGTCACCTTTTAACTAACTCGAAAAAGTGATACATCATAGAACCCGGAATCATCACTGCCTCGCATACGCGAATTTTTGGGTTCCGTACTCAATACTTCCTAATGAAACAAAATCAGTGCCACAGAAGCTTGTCTTCATATGCATACATTATGCGAATTCGACACTCCGTGACGTCATTTAGTGTATCCCAAATTAGTTAGGTCTGTTTATGCAAAGACACTAGAGACTTTGGTTTATGATATGACTGTTGAACGAATGTCGCCATCGACAATATTGCACGCGTGTCCAACTATCTACTTGCCGTACTGAATGTGACAACTTTCTTTGTTACAAAATATATCGGAATGAAATATGAGCATAACATAGGCCTCTGACGGGCTCTAACCCTTCTTATCAGCAACAACGCTATCAAATGATAAGACTGTTACATTACCCCGAGCATGCTGGGGTATCTGTTATTTATTACAAATGCGCTATGGATTGGGCTGATTTCCATGGCAACGTATAAAAAAAAGGAGACACACTGGACTAGAATTGTATTCGAGTGTGTGGTAGCGGTATATGTTACCGGTGTGTACTGAGTTCTAAGGTTGAAATAAATCATAATTGGTTGTATAAACTGAGAGCATGTAACCCATGGATGCATAATATTAAACTACGACTTCCGATCAATTGTTTTGACACCCATAATACATCGCGGTATTTCGAAACGCGCATGGGAAAAAAATCCAGAAGGCTGATTCAACAGTGATGCTCTTACGAAATAGTTCGGGGGGCTAATGTCATATATGATGCACGTGTCCGAAGTTTTCAAATATAATCTGACTGACGCGAGAACAAACTTTTATTTATTTTCATACACTAGTCTAAGAATAGCGAATATCATAAGATTTCATTATACGGCAGTGGTTGTCCGAAGTGAAAACTAATGCCAGGCTTATCGTATTTAAATGTGTTTTTTCCGAAGATTTTTTGTTTTTGGTGTCAAATAAAATCTGTTATTGTATTCAATCGCACATACTTGAAAGTGTGGAAGTGTTTAATAGAATATATATTTCGTAAAAATATGTTGATAATGTGTCTTATTTAGATATATGAGAAGCGATGTATTGGCTGGAGTATGTCCCTACAACACTATTTCCGCGATGAAGTTGATAAGGCAGGTACGGAAGATAATATTTCAAGCAGTAACGTATCGACAATTAATTCCTCGATATTAGCCGTCTGATTGCTTCCCCGTCTACATTGCACTATTGAGAATTCTCAGACATGTGTCGATGGATATAGATTTTATTTTTTATTTTTGGAAGGGAACGTAAGTGTAACTGATGCCAAGTTAATTTAATGGAATTGACACTGCATTTAACTTGTTTTCTCAAGTTTGTTTCCCATGCGGATTATTTGACGCTATTGGCTATTTGTGTTAGCATGTTTACTCCGAATTACGGCAATGATAAATGATCGAATGCTCAATTGAAGCGTTCTATATTAATCAAATTGGAAAATAAAACGTGTTTATAGTTTATATATGTTACGAAGGGTAGCTTGACGCATAGCGCAAATTCATTGCAGGCACTCACGTCTCTGAAACTATGGCGATAAATGCTATAACCGGATGGTCAAAAAATGCAAAGGTGCAGGTCTCAATGCCCTATAGTCGAAGGGGGAAGTTTAGACTCTCTTAGTCATTCTCGATGAAAGAAATCCACTCGAGGTTAGAAACTGGACTTTATGGGGAATACACGTTCACATGGGTCTCTATGACACATTTAAAAATACCGATTTGTTTTCATAAATACAGCTCATGTACTCTTTATTCGGTATCCAAATTACAGAACGTTTATTTAATACGAAGCTGACATCGATAAACGTTTTCTAGGTTTTTAAGTTGCGCAACAATTCACGCACAAACAGGTCCCGGCTTTCTATCAAACGTTGGATGGCGGGCTCACTATTATAGAAAGCAGTGGAGATCTGCTTCTGTTTTTTATCTGCTTCTACCGTTATTGTGCTCAATTTTGATTTATTTGGTGACGATACTGCCAGGACATTGACGGCACAACACTTGCGATAACCGCCGTTATTGCAAGGACATTGCCACGATAACGCTCTATATACGCGGATAAGACAACATACACATTAACAGTCTGTTTATTATATTTGCCAAAATATGTTTAAAAGAAAACGAATGCCCACGACGCTTAAATTGAATAATGATCACACCTGACTCAACGGACTGCAGGCAATTAGAACAGAATATGCATGTACCCAGATTCTGTGTTTGATTTATCGTGCGTGGGTTTGGTATTAATTTGAGTGCATGGGCTACGACAAAGTGTTTTTTTCTGATATGCGTTTAGTGGCGTTGAGTGGCCAGACTTAAAATAGAAATAGACATATTGCGCAATTAAAGTGAAAGATAAAGTGGTGTGGGTAGCCAAAGACGTTAAATCACGGACTTTAATAGGTAATGTACAACGACACTCGTGATCGTGAAAGGACCCAGTATATCGGGAGCACTTCGTGGATCAAAGAGCGTGCCCCTGCCATGTAGTCTCAATGAGTATCGGAATGTACATGGAATATCGCTTTCATGACATATAGCTAATTATCGCAACAATTATATTTCCAAAAAAAAAAGGTTATGCATGGTGAATGACTGCAAAAACATAACCAAGCTGTGCAACGTCTTATTAAGTTACGAGACGAAAACGACCTACCTGCAGCTGTAAGTGACACGAACACAGCGTAAAACAGGCGATAGGACATGTTGTATAAATCGGTGTTCGACGCATATATTCTCGCTGGTAGATTACTCCATTCCAGGGACGTGTACTGACAGAACGATGCAGATCCTACCAGCCAAGGCAACTTAAAGCGGCCACGTGACCCCGATTGATCGAGTCCGACTGATTGGTTAACCGTTTATTAAGTGGCAAAAACGAAAACCACTTTAGCGTGTGTATAAACAGCAATACGATACGACGTGACAGGACTGTACTACTCGATATCAGTCTCGGCACTGTGCCCGAGTAAACGAATCCATCCAACATACTCAGGGAGACATCATTGATTTCCCAACCAAATGGTTTATTACAGTCTGGTATTTATTTATTTTATGCAGGAATTAGATGTAACGGAGCATCATCAATGCCGACTTTGATAAATTAACCATTTAATGTTACGTGTTTGCTTTCGAGAACATGGTTGTCAAATTGATGTGGAATGAGGTCTGAGTTTGCCCGATCAACCTTTTTTATGAGTGAAAATGTTCGCCTTTCTGCGATACAGTGCGTTGATGGATCACGTGCGATGATATGATTCAGTAGAATATAGTTAGGTTGAACAGCACATTGATACCGACTTGATTCATACTCACTCAAAGCTGACTGGTTACAGAGTTCGTGACTGTAGAAATAGCACGTACAGTACACGCATATGGTAACCATTCACGCCGATCCTTCCGACGAGAGGCACGATGTATCCAGCCCGGAGAAGCGTGTCCTGTAATAACAAATAGGATTTACAGACACGGTGTTCATTGACCTGGGCTGGGACTGTTATACATTGGTGCACGGTTACTTAACTGATTCACTTTTTTTTTAATAATAAAACTTTAAAACAAGTCAAATTTAAACAATGGGAATAATTTCAATAAAAGCTGACAATGTCACCTTGCATTAAAGATTTCTTTTAGTAGATTGCGTCGGTTTTTAAGATCCTTAGAAATCGCAAAGTCATAAATTGCGAAGGTGACACATACAGATTACGGAGGTTTTATTTTGGAAATACATGCCGGAAAAAAACTTATCTCATTATTAGTGTCAGATAAACAGTATCCGATATAATAAGCAGGTTTGTCGAACGGTGTGAGTATAGTTAGAATGTCTCCCTATACAGACTATGTAAATGTCATTGTCATGGAAAACTCTAAGTAAATTTAACAATTACGCCGTTTTAACAACTGGGGGAATCCCCATACTCAATTCCAAATTAGTTTCTCAAACCGGTTGGGGCGGGCCAGAGTATACTGGACGCGAGGTAAATCAGCCGCATTTCTAATAGAATCAAGTTGTGGGTTGACGTAGTGATTTTGATCTCCAACGCTGTCATTCTTCGTCAGCGGTGGCGGATCAACCAGCGTTGATTGATGCTGGCAATGGTTTGGAAATGATAATGGACGCAGCACCATTACGTTGGATACAAACTCATTACACCGTTTTAGCTGGATTTATTCAGGTGAAGTTTCGGCGTAGATGGTGCACACACCTTTATCAAACCTATATAGTGAGTACCTGGGTGACAGTGTTTGTACTCTGAATAATTGTGATCTATATCCAAAGTTATTTTATTGTACCGCATTTCTGTTAAAGCGCCTCAGTCGTCACGCAGCGTGTTATAATTGTCACGCAGCGTGTTATAATCGTCACGCAGTGCATCACTACTTTCACGCAGTGCTTCACAATTCTCGCGCAGCGCTTTCCAATTTCGTTGTATGTGTCGCGGTGCAAAGGTTGTCACGTTTTAGAAGAATAACTTGAATATGTACCACCAAGAACATTGTGTTTCAATTGAAGTGAACTGAACCCTCAAAAAATTATTGGCACAGCCAAGCATCACTAGGTAACTACGTAGTCCGTTACAATTTTGTTTCACACGGGTTGACTGCCGGATTACAAATTGACGAGCCTTGAATTGCGTTATCGTGACGTTTAATTTTGTTGTTTATGAACATCGTCAACAAACAAAATCGAATTTTGCTGTTGAAAAAAGCTCGATTTTCACATCATGTGACCATAATTAGTGCGTTATGACCTCATCGACTGATCTGTTCAAGACCCGCCCATAAATTTACTAGTTTTTATTATTTGTAGATTTTCTCACGATCACATACGGCTTCTAGTCTAGTAATACAAGGATATATATAATATCAGAGCAGACATCACACTAATGCGTATAGGTAGATTTCCTGACAGCTTTTGCACACAATTCAACAAACTATCATTGAATTAAACGCCACAGTTGCCACGCCACGTCGTGTTCGATATGGGTCCGATGCATACAACGTGTATAATATATATATATATATATATATATATATATATATATATATATATATATATATATATATATATATATATATATATATATATATACATGTACATCATTTTAACGCGCTGTGTGAAGATTGCGCTGCGTTGCGTGTCGTCTGTGACGCGCTTCGTACTTCGTATTGACTGTGACGCGTTGCGTGCCGTCTGTGGCGCGCTGCGGGTCGACTGTGACGCGCTGCATGGCGACTGTGGCGCGCTGCGGACCGACTGTGGCGCTTTAAGTGTCTGACGTTTGCGTAGATTATGATGTCAGTTACACCTCTCGTAATCAAATGGGCCTCAAAAATGTATGCAATAACTTTGAATAAGAAAAGCATTTTAAAAAAAAATCGTCTCTGAGCTCTTGTTCTTGCTCTTGTGCAATTCACTGCGAAGTTCATGAACTTAAAATTATGTGAAATTGATCAAAACATCGACATAGTGAAATTAAATGCCAGTGAAAACAAATGGTTTCCCAGTATATATTCTCATTCATGAATTGATCGATCATGTTCAAACCGTAGACATACATGAAACATTGCGTCGCACATATATAATGTAAACGCGTGAATTGGAATTATATTCTAAGTCTAGTCTATTCTGTATTGGATATGTTTTCTACTTTACTCTCAACTATTTTTTCTTCTTCAGCGCTAGTTATTGAAATAGATATTTAAGGGATCTGGTTCTATTTAAAACAAGACGAGAGCATGTATTTGGATTTAGCTGTTAATAAACAAACCTGATCACTCCACACGTGTCGAGTTCACTCAGAATCACGTGGTACACTCCTGGTAGTTGCGATATCGAACAACGTTACATTTGCCGATATGTTAAAGGAGAACGGGCTGAGTTTTCTCAAATTGTTTCATATTTTTTCCAATCCATGTAATAGTAAGCAAAAATTATTTTTGTATTACGAAACAAGTGGTGATATGTTATGTAACATGATATGTATTTAAGGTCGACCAAAAAATAAAGTTCAACTACTACCGCGAATGTGATTTCGGTTCAGTAATGCCCACGTCATCGTGTGAGTCTGAATCGTATTTTATTCACCTTGTCTGTCAAGTTGTGAGGTGAACACTTTATTCATCGATGTAGATCAAGTAGCGATTTTTTGACCGTGTCAAGGTATTTCTAACCAATTTGTGTGCGTCAAAGGGCCATAAGTAAAAACATACATAAGTACACATCCGCAGATAAATTCAAAATGACGTATGGGCAAAGAAATGTAATTCTATTACAATCTATCAACATTGACCATTCCATTATTTTACCGCACGTGTGTTTGTTTTCTTTTAATTCGTCGATGTGACCAAGTACCTGTATACGATGCCCGTTGCATTTTGCGGTCGTCCTTGCTGATTTCTAACCGTAATGGCCATTCCATTGGGAGCACATGAAAAAAAAGCTGTTTAAATTAACAAACTACACTTATAAACAATTGCGTCCATTTGCGTTGAGTGTGCGTCCAATGTTTATATCTTTGACATTCCTGACAATACATCGCTATTTAGTATTATTATTCCCTGGGTGGTATAGGTATGCTGAAATGACGGCCTGTCCACATACACCGAGTTTTATCGGCGCTCTCAGTTATAGACTTCTGCCAAATTTCCGTTTACATCTTTAGCACAACGGTGAACATATTCTAGGATATTTCAAAGCCGACTCACAGTTATGTGTAATGTTGACAAAATAAAAAAAAACAATATACAGGTATACGGACCAGGATACAGTATTATTGTTCGCCAAGCATCCTTAATTAATATGGAGTAAATCCAACCTATGTCTACGAATACTATTATACACGCGTTAAAACATCCTCGTCACAGAGACAAAGTAGTATTTTCCTGATTATGCTCATTCGTGATTACATGTACACGTCGTGACAGTGGCACGTATTTGTAGCGGAATTGTGTAATTCAACCACAGGATGTACGTAATACGTTTATGTTGATGTCTAAGTGGTCACGCTCCTGCGATGTACTCGGGCACGAATAGAATAGAATAGAATAGAATAGAATAGAATAGAATAGAATAGAATAGAATAGAATAGAATAGAATAGAATAGAATAGAATAGAATAGAATAGAATAGACGCTTAGACGTGATTCACGTAGTATCGGTTCACTGCACCCGTGAGTAAACGTGTTTATTATTCATGATCGAATGTGGTTAAATCGTAATTTATGTTGTCAACTCTTGTAAGTTGAAGACAACTACAGTCTAACACTCAAACTGTGATTCGAATTTAATGATCAGTTAATGGGATGACATTCTAACAAAATAGATTTCTCGTTTGTTATCTAGTTAATAGCGGCGCTGATGACTGTTCACATTGAACGGCCCAATGTATACATAATGATGAGTTGTTTACTGTAGATAGATAAGTTTCACTATCAACTGTCATAGTTCTCACTTTCCTAGGTAAAATACATTTATTTGCGAGAGTCCAATGCCCATAGTATGTGCTGGGGATAATTGAAATATCCAAGTTGAAATATACACATAACGTTACAATATTGGTACGTACTTGAAATTACATCTTTTACCTTGACATTTCTGAAGCGTGTCACGTGATGACGTTGACATGAATCCTTTTAAATAGCTCTCACAATCAGAGGTGACTAGCTTAGATTTCAAACTTAAACCTTCTTCAGAGTAACGAGTA